AGACTGCATTTTCCAAGGGAAAAACCTGGCTCGTGTGTGTGTGTGTGTGTGTGTGTGTGTGTGTGTGTGTGTTCATTTTATGTGTAAGGCACATCTACGTATACAGTCCACAAGCGTCTATCTATACTCATCACGCACACGGATTATGCCCATCATTGCATATGTAGTACACTAACGGGACAAACAGTATCGCTCTGACTTTAGTATCGTAAGGGCGGGGGTATTTAGGGGAAAATATCTGAAATGCCTCCTTTAGAGGATGATGATGAAAAAAGCAGCGTGAGCAGCACAGCCCGAGGTCAGAACTCCCCAGCAAATGCACGCAAATGCACCACGGTTGTGTTAAGGTGGACCCTCTGGTCCTCTGCTCTCAGTGGCTGCCTGACACCTGGCGCGCTGTCCTGGTACACATAATTTCCTGTGTGCACTGTGACATCAGAAAGGTGAAGCACTGCCTGGGAAAATGTGTCTACTTTCCGGGCACAACTGAGGCTGGAGCTGTGAGTACCTTCCTCTCAGTCTCCACGCCCAACCTCGCAGCCTGCGTTTCCGCCTGTCTCTCCTGAGGTTAGGCACATCCGTCTTTCCAAAGCTACTGTGTAGCCCCTCGCTTCCCAGCCTGGCCCCCTCTGCCAGCATCCCCATCCCCTGCAGTCCGCCCTTCCTTCTCCTCCAGCTCTCTGCGTCCTTGCAAATGAGCGCAGTCTACAGCTTGTATCCTAGAAACAGCTCCACATTTTACTTCCAGGCATGGTGGAGTTCTACCTGAGTTCTCTCCTTTTCATAGTTCAACATTTAATGAGAAATTGAAAAAATGCTACTTCCAAGATTTTAATAGTTTTATACTAAATAGATACAAAAATAATATTATAAAGTATATAGGCCACAAAACCAAAAACCCAACCCATGTATTCACCGCCCTATTTAAAAAAGGAATACAGCTGCCCTGGAGGCTCCCAAGTCTGAGACCTGGGTGACTCAGTAAGACCCTGTCTCAAAATAAAAACAGCTGGGGACGCACCTCAGTGCAAAGCCCTGGATTCCATCCTCCGACCAAAGAAAAAGAGGCATCACGTTTATATTTAGTGCCTTCCATGCGCTTCCCACCCAGCTTCCTGCCTTCACAGTAACTGTCCTTAATTGTTTTTAATTCTCTTGCATTTCTTAGGTACCGCCATACTATATGTATAGTCTTAAATAATATGTCATTTAGTTTTGCATGCTTTTGAAGTTTATGTAAGTGAAATACTATATATTAAGTACTGGGAGTCATCATCGCTCTCATGTAAAATGTAACTCGTGCTCTTTCACTGTTAATAATATCCTCTGCTGAAATTATGCTTCCACTGACTTAACCTGCTACTCAACTGAATGGAACCCTCCAGCGACTTCCTAATCGCTGAACAAGTGGTCCCACTTGAGTCATCCTCCTCGCCACATTAATAGCTCTCTTTCCTCTCACAATTGCTCTCTAGCTTGAGTCTTTCTTCTTTCTACAAAACATCTTCCCTTGTAATACCTAAAGAGCTCCATCCAAACATTCCCTCCTATCCAGCGAGCACAGGAAGCAGACCCAACAGGAGGAAATGTTGAGAAACCAATATTAAACTAATTTCTCTAGTTACACACAGGAGAAATTAAAGAAAGTAGTAAGTGTTGCCATCATTGCCATTTTTATATAAAGAGAAGGAACCATTTTCAATTTTTGCTTCTTTAAATGCACCTCAACGGTTTCTGCTAATATACATGTAATTTTTGTTTATGTTCTAAGTTGTGTTATTTAATAAGATAATTTTCTCCAATTCAGTGACACATAGTTTGCAGCAAAACTAAATATATGCCCTAACTCATGCATTTATTCATTCAGTAATTACCAAATTTTAATGTGGTAGGCATTATTCAGAGAATCGTACAAAAAGGAAATTATCATTCAAAATGCACTGTAATAAAATTGCTCAAACGTACTTCGGAAGCATAGAAGAGCGAGCACTGGGCTCTGCTACAGAGCTGCTCCGCAGTGGAACTGACATTTTAATGGGGTCTGGATAAACGATCAGTACTTTGTATGAAGAAAAGGAGAACAGCAGTGAGTTCAGAAGAGCACCATGGAGACACAGGATGTGACTGACTGAGAGCGCCTGAGCAACAGCAAGAAGGGACTCTGAAGTGGACAGTGTGTGGGACCAGGGGGGCAGAGGTCTGGGCCGACAGGGCCCACTGTGTTATGATGGATAATTTGTACCTTATTCTCTAGGAAACAAAAAGCTGTGGTCTTTTTTTTTTTTTTTTTAAGTTTTCTATGATATGGGGATTGAACTCAGGGCCTTGCACATGCCAGGCAAATGCTCTACCACTGAGCTACATCCTCAGCCCTTTTTAATTTTAAAGCAAAGTCTTGCTAAATTGCCTAGACTGGCCTCGAACCCGAAATTCTTCTGCCTCAGCCTCTCCAGAAGCTGGGATTCCAGGCATGTGCTACCTTATGGTGTTAACTATCTTTAAGCAGGGGACATGATTAGTTTTGTTAGAAAGATAACTCTTGACAGCAAATGAGCATGACAGGTTAAACTGGGTGGCACAGGGGCAGGGAGGTCACTCATGGAGATCTATCCAGGAAAGATAATGAACAAAAGCAGGGGAAGGACAGACGAAAGCACTTGAGACTAATTCAGAAGTTATTTCAAGAGCCGGTAAATGGGGTGCAATGGCAAATGTCTATAACCCCAGTGACCTGGGAGACTAAGGCAGGAGGATCACAACTTTGAGGTCAGTCTGGGCAACTTAGCAAGGCTCCATCTTAAAATAATAAAAAGGGCTGAGGATGTAACTCAGGGATAGTGAATCCCCAGTAATACCCCGTACACATACACATACACACACACACACACACACACACACACACACACACACACACACACACATCCGAAGAGCTGATAAAAGTAGAGTATAAGTAGGAGAGGAAGTATGTGACTCTAGGATGTCCTCCTTGGGGTACTACATGGATAATAACATCACTCACTGACCTAGGAAACATGGAAAGAAGAGTGGGTTTGGGGGAAATACAGAGTTCACTTAGGAGCTTTTAGATCCTCTATGTGACAATATCCCATGTCAGGTTTGGACCTGGAAACGAACGTGTATGTGTCAAGCCTATAACTAAAGGGTTAAAGCCACATGACCAAACACACACACAAAAAGCCAAAACCACAGATCTCAGACTGCAAAAGCACATTATCAGAATCACCAGAGGGGCCCTGCCGCAGAGCTTCTCATTCAGGCCTGAGAACCTGCATCTGCAACCAGATCCCAGGCGGTGCTGCTGGTCTGGACTAGACAGTGTCACTTCTAAGACTGAAAATTGAGGATCAAGAAGACAGTCCTGAACCACACCGACACCTAAGGGAATTAGAAAGCAGGAACCAGCGAAGGGCAGGAGTTTCCAGAGAAAGGGATGAGGCCTGAGGGGCACACCAAATACTTTTGAGTTGTGGAACTAACTGAGTGAGGTGTGAAAATAACCGGACGAAGTAATCAGGAGGTCACCGAACAGCTTAGCGGAGCAGTAGAATAAGACGGAAGGGATGGAACGAGGTGAGAAAGCACGGACTGCACTGGAAAGTCTGCTGGAAAGAGGAGGAGAAGGGACAGAAGCCTGAGCAGGCAGAGCCCTTGGGAAAGGTGACTTAGGATGAACGACGCGGGCACACGGTAGCGCAGGAAGGGCGGACGGAGCGAGTCCCACGGGAGGCGTCCAGCTGCAGCCGCGTCAGTCAGTGTCTGACAGCAGCGTCCGCTCTGCTGAGGAGGCCGGAAGCTAGGCACACAGGTGGAGGGGAAGGCGAGTGAGGCACGCTGGGAGAGACCATGCCCGGGGCCTCTGGTTTCTCTGCAGCGTTGCCCTCAAGACGCCCTGAAGGAAAAAGCATGCTTTAGGAAGAAGAAAAACATGTAATACTAGATGGAAATCTGCATCCACACGAAGGAAAGAAGAATGCTGGAAATGCCAATTTACATGGGGAAATACAGAAAACAACATTTTCTATTTTAATCTCCTGTTAAAAATTGTTTAAAGCACAAATAACAATGTAAATATAGGGTTTATAACTAAGTAAAATGCATGACAAAAAAACATGGTAGGAAGAGTGGTAAATTCAACTCACATAAACCTCTTAATCCTACATGTAAAATAGTACATTATTATTTGAAAGTAAATTGTGATAGGGATATATGACATAAGCCCTACCAAATGTGGTCTTGGAATCTGAATAAAGCTTGGATCCAGAAATTCCAACAGCCAGCTATCAGAAGTTCCAGGAGAGATTCACAGAACATGTTCACATGACAAAGGTTTTAGGAAATTCCGAGGTCAAAAAATCTGTTTAACCTGATGTTTATCGAATATTTACTGACCACAGAAGTTACTCTGGAAATTACTACCACCTCATAGAACTAGGGAAATCCATTTTGGAGAATACTAATAGTTCTGAGAGATGTTAGTAAGTATTAAACAATATCCTAATCACAGTATCATCACTGCTATGCTTTACTTTAAATGATCTATGTATTTATGTATCTAATAAGACAGATAAATCAGTAGTAGTACATTGTAAGGGAAAAACCCCTCGTATTTTGGAATGAAGCAGATCTGGGTTTAAGTCTCACCTCACCACTTACCTGGATATGAAATCATGAACAAATTACTATCTTATTGTGAGGATTAAATGATATATAACTTGCAAAAAAAGAACTGTATGCTATGTGCTATGTTATGTACCTACTAAATGATAGCACATGATGAAGATGATGATCAACAGGGGTCCTCTAAACAGTACACCCCTAGCATACTGAAAATGAAATACAGGTCTCAAAAGCTCTGTCTTAGCTGTGCATGGTGGTACATGCCTGTAATGGATGGGACAGGAAGACAGACTTAAAAACTGAGCTCTAGGACTAACTATTGGTGCCTAAGAGTAAACAAGGGCTTGATATCTAATTCTTACCATTGATAACCGGCGTGTAAACCACAATCCCAACCAGGTTTGGGTCAGAGACAGTTGTGTCCAGAATAAGACCCCCAATGCTGAAAAAAACAGAGACACATAATTTATGGAAGGGGAAAGTACATGAAGTTGTCCTGTATATACATACACTCCTACTTTGGAAAATAAAATGTTTACACATTTTTAAAGTACAGTCAAAAGAAAAATATTTAAAGTAAAAATGAATGTCAAGACATTCATTTTTTGGAATGTCAAGACTTCCAAAAAGTTGGAAACAAAACATGATTTAGGTTACAGCCCCAGTCAGGGCTCTTGAGAAAAGAAAAAGCATATGCTTTAAATACATTAGGATGCCTGGAAGGACCCATAAGAAATTATTAACCATGTTTATTTCTAAGGAGTGAGATTGACAGGGAACTGATAATCACTATATAGCCTGCTTATTATTTTTTAAGCTGCTTAATTTATTAATCTTCTAATTTAAAAAATTATAAAAAGTTATCTTTTCATATTTGAAGTAAGTAAGGCATTAAACAGACTTCGGGTTTGGTGGAGTGGTGGTTGTTGTTTGTTTTCTGAAACAGGGTCTTCCTCTGTTGTCCAGGCTGGCCTTGAACTCATTATGTAGTATGGGATTACAGGCATGTCCCACAACATCTGGCAAAGGGATACTTTTTTTTATTGTGTTAAAACTAGATAGAGTTAGAATGTGTTTTATCATTGGTAAATTAAAATAATAACTGCATTGATGTGGTGACACAGGCCTGTAATCTTAGTGCTTGGGAGGTCAAAGCGACCTGGGATAGGCGGGGAGTTCCAGATCATCTGACCACAGAGCTGATCAGGAAAAGTCCAGAAAAGTATTTTCAATATAATATAGTGGCAAGCCCTACACTCTCACTGTGTCAAAGGAACTTGGAGACTTAATTCTTAAATTTCCAAAATGATTAATAATTGGTTTACTTCAATCTGCTGGTCTGAGTTATAAAACAAGGCCAGTTCCAATATTCCATAGGATCCTGCTGCCTAAATTTTTCAGGAAAATGTTACTCACATTACATCAAAATGAACTATATGCTATCACAGAATGGGACTGTCAAAATATCAGATCAAATGATCTTACCACTACCTGGTAGTTAACAGTGGAAATTATTATTTCCTTTATTAATTCTTTAATAAAATAAAATGTTTTAAAGTCTCTATTAAGGTATACTATAGCTGGGTGTGGTGGTGCATACCTGCAATCCCAGCACTCCAGAGGCTGAAGCAGGAGGATTGCTGTGATTTGGAGGCCAGCATGGAATCCCTACCTGCGGTTTAGCCACAAAGTATATCTGATACCCTCATGTGGACATTTTTCTTTGCCTCATATTTCTCTTCACTGTTAAGGTATCTATTACTAATCCAGCCTCAAGTGTGTAATGCTAACGAGATGCCGCTCATTACACCAAATGTATCCCGTAGCAAATGTATTCCATGGTCTTCCCCTGTCAGAGCCACTCTTCCCTTGGGCATGGTGCTCCTGGCAGGCATACTGGCTGGTCCCCAGCCCTGGGCACAGCTGCCCCTCCCTTCGTCTCTCCTGCTGGATCCTGGTCTGGGAACTCCCACAGGACCCGGCTGCAGGAATCCTCCAGGAAAAAGCAGTCTGTGCTACAGAAAAGAGCCACCTGCTGTCACAGAGTGGGATTCTTCATTCCTCTGCCTTCTGTTCTGATTTATTTCCTCCCTTTGACAGAACACACTTTTTATCAGCTTCAAATGAAGGGGCACGGGGAAGTGCATTTGATGAGATCTTGCCTGCCTGAGAATTTATTTAATCTTGTCTAATACTGAGCTGTATTTTATGTCCAAAATGATTTTCCTTCAGACTTTGAAGAAATCACTTCTGGTGCTGCTGTTAGACGTCCTTCACGTGTAACTTCCTGCTTTTCCTCTGGAAGCTTTGGTGGCTTATGCAGTGCCCTCCCCCAGGGCCTCCAACCTGGAAACCGTGTCTTCTGTCCTGGGGAATCTCCTCACCTGGATGCTCTGAGTTTTCCCTGCTTGTCACACGCCTCCTCCTGCCCACCTCTTTGTTTCCCATTCTGCGTTACTGGAGAGTTCTTCACCTTCATCTTCTAACTTCTCTACTTCTGCTATTCATTTAAATTTCCAAAGCTCTTCCTGTTTTTCAAATCCTCATTAGACCATCCTGTTCTTACACTGTGGGTGCTACAGTTTCCCTTGTTTCTCTGAGGACACGGACAACACGGTAGTTTGCTGAGGTTTTTCAACCACACCTGCCCTTCGAGTGCCTCTTTTGGTCACATCAGACGCCCACCCCAAACGTCGGATATCCCTCCACTGCCTGCCCGTCCTTGCACAGCCCTGGACGCATGCTCGGTGCACACAGGTAGACAGGCAGAGACGGTGACCAAGGGCTGCCACACTGAAGAGCATCAGGTGGGCTTGCCGCGCTTGCGCTGAAGGACCGGGCAGTGCCAGCCTCCGCAGCCTTTGCTTTTGCGCTGCGCAGTTTCCCAGAGGATCTGCCTACTTTCTGCCTGGGATATAAACCTGCCTGCCAGTGCTCTACGTGCACAGAAACGGAAGTGGGACAAGGTTCTCCCTGCCCAGTGTGTAGACTTCCAGTTCGTCTTTACCTTTCGGAGCGCTTAATCCGCATCCTCGCCTACACAGCTGTTTGTGTTAGCCCATCCACAGGTCCTGCTGCCAAAGGGGAGGGACTCATCGGGGTGCAGGCTGGAGCACGGTGCGGGAGGCAGACAGTTCGTTACCTTAGCTTCTGCCCATCTTCACACCTCAGCTTTCAGAAGACGCCAGTGCGTCCGGATGGCTAGTGTGGCCCATGTCACTGTAAAGCCCCTCTGGGTTTCTCAGGTTCCGATCTGTTTGCCTCTGACAGCTGGTCAATTTTCCCTTTTTTCTTTCTGCTTATGTACTGAGCAACCATCCCTCTGATGCCTACCTTTCTACATTTTTATATCTCTCACCTGCTGTCTTTTCTGCTCCTCTTCTGTCTTAATGGTTTTTTAGTATTTTCATTCTTTTATAATCACTTTAGTAGTTTCAGGGAAGAAGATAAACATGTCTTAACTTCTTATGTTTAACAGGAAATTCATACTCATTTCTTGGTTACCCTCTTCACCAAATGTACAATGAACATCTTATCATGGCAAGAGAAACGCTGCAGTGTTATTTTTAATTTTTAATCATCCACTTCCGGTCTATATTACAATTTATTTAATCAGGTGTTATTTAAAGGTGCTACACCTTTAACTGTTCCCTTTTAAAATTAAGAACTCCAATGTAATGAAGATTCTTGCAACTAAGTCTTCTGCATACATCCTTAATTATATACTTAAGTTTCTCAATGTCCTAGATGTGGAATTAGTCAAATGACACATATATCTCTTAAGACTCTGATACTTACTTGAGCAACTTGCTAAATGTCCTTGCCAGGTTAACACCACACACACACACCCCACTGAATTTTACTCATCAATCTGATGGTTTTGGTTGGAGAGAAATGCAAAAGGGGTGGCCAATTCAAATTTCAGTACATCCACTAATTTCAGTAACTCTGTAACTCTGATCCCTTATTACCTGAGGGAAGTATGAACTGGCCATATAAAATGGTTAATTAAAAAAACCAGGTAGGTTATTTCACATGCACATTACGGACATGCACACAACACACACATGTGCACACACACGCACTCTGCTACTAACCTGCTTATGACCATAGCTGTTATGACAGGTTCCCAGCCTGAGTACAGAACTGTCCTGGTAGCTGGATGCTTGGCTGCTATTATAATCCAGATAGGAGTCAGAGCCAAGAAAAAGACACCAACTAATGGAGAAATGTAGTAATAGGTCTCTGAAATTAAAAAGAAGGACAATATTTCAATCTCTCTTTCTTCAAGTAGCAAATCTAAATTAACAACAGTAAAATTTTACTGGGTGATATAATACTATCAAACATATTATCATGTCTTACATTTTTGATAAATTTCAAACAGATTAGTACTATAAGTACAATTTTAAAATTAAGTAATATGGTTAAAAATACATTAATTCAACAAACATTTATTATGAAATAGCTGCACGGCACACATGAGAATAGTAACAACAGAATTAATAAGAACAAACAGTAAAAAGCTACTTAACAGACTGCCATATTCTGTGCTACTCCTCTGTGGTAGATGTCTTACCTGATCACCATTACTCATTCCCTCTCCATTCCTGTTATGCTTCTCTGGAGAAAGGGAGGAAAGAAACCTCTCTCCTCATTGGCTGTGGGCTTGGTCATTTGCCTTATTCATAGACATGATTTATGCCATCTCTAAAAAAAATTTTAAGTGTGCTTTCAGAAAGAGCTGTGTGTGTGTCTGAACTGTTCAGACACACAGGCACGTCTGAGAGAAGGGCAAGAAATGAGATGAGCTCTCCAACAGGCTGGGACAAGGCTGAGGCAGAGGGATTCAGAGGGCAGAACGCTGAAGGAAAGGGAGCTATAGGGACGGCACCTGAGAACTGCACAAGCTACACACACACAGGACGCTCCACAAAGCAGTTCAAGAATAATCAGGGAGGTGTAAACTACAAAATCCCAAGTTTACAAGGGAAGTCACTACAGTGACTGACCCTGCAGAGAGGCCTCTTTGAACTCTGTGAGGACTAAGTACAGACCTGAGAAAGATCCCACCCTAGAATAATGTACCGGCTGTACATCTGCCCCAATGTAACCTTAAAGCAGGCCTCAACAGCCCACGCTAATCTATAAATACCTGCCCACAAGAATAAAGTTCAACATTCTTATAGAAAAAACCAACTGAACACTTAACTATACTACACTTACCAGTGTCTAGCATCCAGCCTAACCGCGAATCTGGAATATCTGATGCTATTGAAAACAAATCTATGACATTCTGCTTACTTTAGATAGTTCACTTATCTCACAAAGTTTTCAAATTTTTCAAGTGATCTTTACAAAACTAATAAATTAAACGTATAAACTTAGTAACTTAAGTGTTAAAAAGTATTCAAGTAATGTATACAAATTTGGTAGGATTTCTCTTTAACAATCACAAGAAAAATCAATTATAAATTTAAAAATGGAATTGATGGGTAAGTTACAAGTATATAAGTACGCACTGCCTCTTTAGCATAAAACTATTCATTCCATGAGTTTGATTTTTAAATATTTTTATACTTAATTCTAAATCTCCCTATGGTTCAAAGTTTTGTATCCTTTATTTTAACAGGTGTATCTTCCCAAAGCATTTTTGCTGATACCATTTTAGCTGATCAAAGTTTTATTATCAATATTTCAGCCAAGATATTCCTGGGATTCTTCCTGATAACTCTAATATACACTGTGTCTAGTAAGGACATTATAAATTAAAGGTAAGAGTTGATCTCACAGTTCTTGTAGCCAACAACCACAAAGTTAAATGTCCCATTTTTCTATTAGCTCACAGAATTCTGTAACCCTTGCTCTCTTATTGTTGATTACATTTTTTATTTCTTTAGATTCCTAAAATGTTTGTTTGTTTGTAAATAGGGTCTTGCTATGTAGTTCAGGCTGGTACTGAATTCACTATGTATCTCAGGCTGGTCTTGAATTCATGGTAATACTCTTGCCTCACCTTCCCGCGTGCTGGGAATTATAGGCACGTGCCACCACGCCTGGCTAGATTCTTAAAATACTTCAAGTTCTCCCACCTATGATTAAAGACATTTGAAATAGAAACTGAAAATTTTCACTTTTTCCTATCAGGTAGAAATAAGCCCTTATTACAGATATTAACATAATATATAAACATATTTTACATTTATGTGTCTGTCTAGATTTGCCAACACATTCAAAATTATACTGACAAAAATTGTTTTTACATTTTCTTCCATTTAAAGGAATATGACTAACGCTACATTTAGTGTTATTTTTTCCATTATGTTTTAAAAGATGAAGAAAAAATTTGTTGAATGGATTCCCAGATCTTGTAAACCATTAGATAATGGGAAGGGACATCTCGATGAACAAGCATTCCTGCCTCCTGAAATAATTACAGTTGCCGATAATCTCTCTGCTGGGCAACGGAAAGCCACAAGCACTGAAACCACGGAACACAAGGAAAAGAACTGCCCAGCCCACTCAGTTCACCTCAGGATTTCTCAGGTCAAGACAGGACGACCACGCCAGGCTTTAAAGAAGTTACCCTTAACATTACACCTCTGGGAGCACATCTGGAATGGAAAAGGCGCCTGCCACCCTACCCCCAAATCATTGACCTGTATTTTCAAAGAAGAAAAACTTTTCTCAGTGGAGAAACTAAAAATACTGAGTGAACAGTTACCACATGACCCAGGAATTCTCCTGGATATGTGCGCAAGAGAACTGAAAACATGTATGAACATCAAAACTTGTACACAAATGTTCACAGCAGCAATATTCGTAATAGCCTAGATAGGGAAGGAACCCAATGTCTGTCAAATGGTGACTGGATAAACAAAATGTAGTATATATCCATTTATCCAATAGAGCATTATTCAGCCATAGTGTTAATCCATACACTGGGATATGATTCATCACTTAATAAGCTGAAGCAGTGATCCATGCTACAATACAGGCGAAACTTGAAAACATTATGCTACCTGAAAGGCGCCGGGCACCAAAGGTCACACATATATGGCTTCATTTTCATGAAATTTCCAGAAAAGACAAATGTAAAGCAACAGAAAGTAGACTTGTGGTTGCAGGAGTGGGAGAGGATTGAATAAGCACTACTGCTAAAGCCACGGGGCTCCTTCTGGGGATGATGAAAACGCTCTTGAAGGAGGTCATGGTGACGGCTGCACAATCCTATGACTATACCCAAGCCAGCGAATGAGTCACTTTAGAAAGTGCGTGGTATGTGGCCTACAGTATACCCAAATTTTTAAAATTCTAATGATGGAAAATAAAGGAGGGAGGAGGGAAGTTTATTGTATTAGTCAGCTTCCCTGTCCCTGGGAAAAAATATCCAACCCTGGCACTTAAAAGGAGCAGAGGTTTATCTGGCTCAGTTTTCTGGGGTTCAGTCCATGGTCTCTGGCTCCACAGCAGAAACAGCGTGCAAGAGGGCTGGCAGAGGAGCCACTCACCCTGTGGCGGCCATCAAGCAGGGAGAGAAGGAAGAAGCGGACGGGAAGGAGCGGATGGGATCATGCCCTCCCAGCTCACACTGCAGCGACCCACCCTGCTGACCAGGTCCACCTCGGAACCCAAGACTTCTGGGAGATACTTCAGGTCTAAACCAAAACATTTATATTCTTTAACAATGCCAATGTCAGTGTCAAAGATACATACAGAAAAAGAAAAGGTAAACCAAGTGGGGTAAGGTTAGTATTTGGTGAATATAAGTAAAAGATATGCAATGTTTTTCTACTATTTTTATTTTTTATAACTATTTTATAAATATAACATTATCTTCAAATAATAGTTTCTTAAATATTAAAAGGAATGGGAAAACTATGATAAAACCAAAATCCTCGAACTATAGATGTGTTCTGTTTCAATTTGGTATTTAACAGATACCACAAAATTAAAGAATTACTTTTGGAAAACCACTAATGACACAATCAGCAAGAGAAAAATGGCCAATTAATAGCCAACTATGAACCTCTACGTCAACATTAAAACAAAATAATGTCTTCTAAATGACACTCGTTTAGAAGATCCTAGTTAAAATAATACTTTGTATTAAAATCTCACCAGCATAGGTGCAATGGTAAGCTGATAATGGCCCACAGAGATATGGAGAAGCTGTGTTACCTTATGCAACAAAAGGGGCTCTGCAGATGGGACTGCATCAAGGATTTTGAGATGAAAATCGCATCCTGGATTACTGGTGTGAGCCCTCAATGTAATCATGGGTGTCTTTGTAAGAGGGAGGCAGGATAAGATTTGGATACAGAAGAGGAGCTGAGGATGTCACAGGGGAGCGCAGACAGGAGTAATGTGCCTACGACCGAGGGACACCACAGCCACCACAAGGTGGAAAGGCACAGAATGGACCCTCCCTGGGCCTCCCGAAGGACCCCTTTCCACCCAGACTGTATTGGTTCTCATGGATCATATGGCTTCTAGCCTTCAGATGCTAAGAAAATACATTTCTGTGGCCTTAAGCCATAAAGTTTGTGGTAATATGCTACAGCAATAGAATGTGAATATAGGAGAGGTAAAACTTTTTGTTCTTTAAGCCTAGGAAATGCCCACAACATTAGCGTTCATTCTGAGCCACAGGCAAACACACAGCCAAAGTGGTTCAAACTGCTCCGACTCCACTTCCCTGTCCAACATAATCACTTTCTTTGGAATTCATGGCTTTACCTCTTATTACACTGTTGGTGACATTTTTCAACTACTATTATATCATTTCATTAGTAGCATTCATCATTCTCTAACTTCTTCCAGAATAGTAACCATAATGACTGACAACTTTAATATTCTAGCTGTTTCTGTCTGGACAACAGGCACTGTACAGTGCAATTGTTTCTAAATGCCCATTAATAACTACCACAATTTCTCAGGAAACGGATATTCTAGAAATCGCTTGAAACTAAGGTGGCACAGTGTTGAAAATCCCTCACGTGCAGTGACACCCATTTAGATTCATCTCCATTCTACTCACAGCAACACAGCAAGGCAGCGAGGTCTGGAACGCCTGGGGAATGACCAGGCAGCACTCTCTCTCGCCTCACAGACTGACATGCCCTGAGGTGACTGCTACTGCACTTCTGCTGTAACTAAGCTACATCCTTAAAGGTAACCTTGAAGAGCAAGAAATCAATCGGCTTGCCTTTCAGATCTTGCCTCAAAAGAGAAAAGCTGGTAAT